TCTTATAAATATATATAAAAAGTTATTTAAATCGTTACCAAGACGTTTTACATTATGCGAGAGATTAAGTAATAGTAAAAAAGTAATCATTTATGAAATTTCCAATCATTTCTTTAAATATATGCTGTCATTCTTGCGCAGTAACATTTTATATATTTCTGAGGTAAAACTATTCTTTTGGATTTTTATTATATTTTTACTACAATAATTAAGTTATTATATAACATATACATTTATATAGAAGGTATATAGATATATTTCAAAGATATATTGCAAATATATAAATATATATATTCTGCAAATAAAAGTAAGCTAAAACTGTTCTTTTAGCTATCAGTTTTGACCGCATACTTTGACCTCAAACATAAAAAAAACCAACGAAAAGTATAACGAGTGATTTACTATGAGAGAATAACGAAAACCATAGACTTGATTTTTGCTTGACTTCTGAAGTCACAAGGATTTTTGGATCTCTGAAAATTGTAAGATAATTAGATAAATTAAACAGAAACTAAAAAATATAAACAATATAAAAAGTAAACAAAATTAATTTCTTATATGATATATAACACAATTTTGAAGAGTGTATTAATGAAGCAAATATTTTTAAGTCAGTTTTAACAAAAATTCTATTGTAACAAATAATAATTAATCAAAAATCCATTTTTATATTTAAATATTCATAATAGTATTCAGTATTGCTGATATTATCTACAAATATTAAGGATTTTATAATATTGACGAACAAATATCTGTTTCTTCGACAAAAATGTTTTGACTTTTACAATATTTTCGTAAATACTTTTTCGTCTGAAACTTTTATTTTGAATAAGATTATTCTTATCGTGAGACAAGAACATTTCTACAATCCATATTTTAAATAGAATCTATTTAAAAGTTCCTTTATTTTCCTTTCAGTTAATGCCAATCTCATTCGTTACCACAGTGTATTTTATGTGCTTCATGGATTCGTGATTTGATTTGTCTTTTCTCCTCTACATGCTTGTTAGACAGATAAGACTGTTTGAAAAAATTGAGGAATAAAATAAGATAGCTGAGACATCAGTACAGGAAATGATTGAATTTGTGGTTTGAAGTTGTAATGTTACATTGAATTTGGGCAATATGTACATAGTAATAGGCTGAAAAATCTATAACGATACCCCAAAACATTTGTACCATTTGCATCATAGCCAGCATAATGGAGACCCATTTCGGTATACTGAATCGCATTGCTTTCAAAGCATAATAAGAATACATGCAGCATTGTATAAAAGCGTTTATTAAGCTATTCCAGATACTGGATTCTACGGTTTCCATAAACGAGAGCCATGTATAACGGAGAACTGTTATGTGATGGTACCAGTGTAGAAATATCAATGGTTGTTTTCTTAACATGAAGAAAGCAGTGTCCATAACAAAAAACTGCTTACAGGATTGTGTGTAAGATATCCGTGTGTAAAAAATTTAATTACTTGGATGGTAATTATTGCGTGAATAATTAATTAATTCATTAAAACAAAACGTTGTGTTGTTAGATTAGTTACATATTGTATTTCATAATATATAGGGTACACATATATATTTATTCATTCGTTTAAATTAAATATTTTTAATCATATTCACGAACATATAAATTTACAATCTA